GCAGTAAAAAAAAAGTAATGACTTGTTTAAAAAAAAATTCTTAAACCTGTGGTGGTTGGTGCTGTAGCAAAGACCCAGGGACCTGCTGGGGAGATGAGGACGGTGTCGCGGGTGGCTCAGGCTTTGCAGGCTCCTGCACGAGGAAGCAGGTGGCCCCTGGTCCTGAGCTCTTGCCCATGGTCCATTTTATCTCCTACTCCTAAATTAGGCAGGTTTTGTATTGTTGTCATTATAAATGACCTCTTCTAAATTAAAAATGACCACTTCAAAAACAACACAAAGCTCCCTGGTGTAATTGGTAGTCCCAAGTGGATTTAACATTTTTTGGCGGAAATATTTATATTTATAAGTTTACCTTCCAGTCTTAGATAACTGGGGCTGAGTAAAAATTTTAAGGCACTCCCTTTACTTATGCTGTAAACGGTCTGCAGACAAATGCTTATTACAGAGCTGCTGTTGGAGATTCGTGCTCATGTGAAGCTGTTCAGAAGCCCAGGTTGGCTCAATTACTGCACCAGAAATGCAGCAGGACGGGTGATGTGAAAAGTAGGTGTCCAGTATCACTGTTCTTCACAGTCATTTCAGTTCTCTAAAATATGAAGCCTAGCAAGGCATCTTGCTGCATTAAAAACTTCAAGCTTCTTACTCTAGATGGCTATAACTGAAATACATGATCCACAGTGCAGTTTATTAAGCTCAGTTGTTTTTGGCAAGTAGCAAATATGGTTCATAGTTCAATATTTACTTAGTTCCTTGAAACAGAAATACATATGATATTTGAGTGTTTTATGAATAAAATCTTGCACCAGAAAACTCTTGGAATAATCCATTCTGAAGTGTTTGCCTGCTCCCAGCTTTGCTTGCGTTGTAGCTGGGTAAATTAGGGGATTTCAATGTACATGGGGATAGTCAGACTAGTTTATTAGAAAATTATTTGGCCAATAATTTTCTGGCTCTCAAGAATGTAGTATGTATATGTATGTTTATAATCAATCTGTTGTAGTCTAAATGTGAGATTTTTAAGTAGTTAATTTGCTTGGCTTTTTTTTATTAGTTTTATATATTTAGAAAAAAAGTTGGCTGGCTTCCCTAAAAATAAGTTGGTAAAGGAGAAAATAAATATACTGTTGGTTGCACTTACAATAGTGCTATTGTGCAAAGCAGAGCAAGGATCACTTCCAAACGGCCTCAGGTGAAATCTAATGGGAAGCAATTTCAAACTGGTCTGAGTTCATTGGTAGAAAGAATGTGTCTTAGATAAACATCTGATCCAAGTTATACTACTTTGTATTATTCCTTCTCTGATTAAGTTCTATTTTTTTTTTAATTTTAATAAATATAGTTGCATTGGCTGATTGGAATAAGGAGCCTGTTATATTGTCTTTAATGTGGATTCTATAAAACCAGTTGTTTGCAGGTTATTCTGATTTATGGGGCTGCTGCAGCTTTTTCCTATTACTGAAAATGATGGTTTTCAGTAAACTGTTCCTCCTTTAGAGGATAGTTAGCACTACACAGCTCTGCTCGTGATGGCCTTTCAGGCACAGTTTTCAGTTTGAAGAATATGCAGTGTTAATACTTATTTCATTTTAATATTCACATTTGTTACTTGTATGTTTACAGGAGAGCTCCAGTCTTCCGGCTTCCCTGCTTTTAGCTCAACATAAGGATAGGTCTACTCAGCTAGAAATGCAATTGGAAAAACCCAAAGCTGTCAAACCAGTCACATTTTCCACTGGCATCAAGATGGTAAGAATTCTTTCTTTCTTTTTTGAATGCCTTTCCAAAGACTCAGCTTTTCCTAGTTTAAGACTTAGAGATTATTATTTAAACTTAACTTACTGTGCAAAATAGATGAATTTCTAATTGCTTACATAATTGGAAAAGAACAGTCTAAGAATTTCATCATGCTGCTAGTTGGAATGTACAGCATCTTATATTGCATACTTGTCCAAAAACAATCTGGTTTCCCCTCACCCTCTTGCAAAGCTGTATGGTATTTTCATTTTTTTTCCTTTTTTTTGGTCTCTGATTTGTGTCACAATTCTGGAAGTGGAAATTTTTGGAGTTTGAAGGAAAGGCTACACTCTGTTCAGATTTACCCTCACCACTGCTGCCGGTGGTGGGGAAATCTGTGAGTGTGAGACAGAAGCAATTGGCACCGTTTTCCAGATTAAGGATGCTATTTTCATTGTTACTGGAATCTAGGAAGCAGCAAGTATTTTGTTTCAAACGTGCTAGTTAGTGCTGCTGTGACAGCTCCAGCTCCGCCAAC